GGGCCCTGTGGGGGGCCATTAATTTTAATTATATATTTTTTTTTATCAGAGAATTTGCAATTTTTTTTTTAAATCAGGAAAAACCAGGATCCGTGGTAATTAGGAACAGTCAGCATAGATTCACCAAGGGCAAGTCATGACCAACTTGACTGCCTTCTATGAGGAGATGACTGGCTGTGGGAAAAGCAGTGGATGTGATATACCTTGACTTTAGCAAGGCTTTTGATACAATTTCCCAAAGCATTCTCACAAGCAATCTAAGGAAGTATGAGTTGGATGAGTGGGCTGTCAGGTAGATAAAAGACTGGTTGATCGTTGGGCTCAAAGGGTAGTAACCAATGTCTCAATGTCTAGTTGGCAGCCAGTATTGAGTGGCATGCCCCAGGGGTATGTCCTGGGACTGGTTTTGTTCAGTATCTTTATCAATTACCCACAAGATGGAATGGAGTGCAACCTCAGCAAATCAGATGACACAAAGCTAGGGGTAGTAGATACATAGAGGGTAGGGCGAGGATTCAGACAGACCTCAATAAATTGGAAGACTGGACTAAAAGAAATCTCAAGAGGTTCAATAAGGACAAGTACAAAGTCCTGCACTTAGGATGGAACAATCCCATGCACTGCTATGGGCTGGGGAAGCAGCAGCTCTGCAGAAAAGGACCTGGGGGTTACAGTGGACAATAAGCTGAATATGAGCCAACAGAGTGTCCTTGTTGCAAGAAGGCTAACAGCATACTGGGTTGCATTAGTACACGTATTGCCAGCAGAGCGAGGGAGGTGATTATTCTCCTCTTCAGTACTGGTGAGGCTACATGAGGAGTACTGTCTCATTTTGGGCCCCCCACTACGGAAAGGAAGTGGGCAAATCAGAGACAGCGCAATGAAAATGGTTAGGGGGCTGGGACACATGATGTCTGAGGAGAGGCTGAGGGAACTGGGCTTATTTAGTCTGCAAAAGAGAAGACAGAAGGAATTTAATAGCAGCCTTCAACTACCCAGTCTTTCCTGCCCAGAGCAGGGGGGTTGGACCTGATGATCTCATGAGGTCCCTTCCAACCCTGCACTTCTGTGAATCTGTACACCTGAAGAGCGGTTACAAAGAGGATGGAGCTGAACTGTTCTAAGTGACAGCAGATGACAGAACAAGGGGCAATGCTCTCAAGTTGCAGTAAGGGAAGTTTAGGTTAGGTATCAGGAAAAAACTCTCACTAGGAGGGTAGTAAAGCACTGGAACAGGCTACCCAGAGGTTGTGGAATTTCCGCTCTTGGAGGCTTTTAAGACCTGGTTAGGTAGACAGAGTCTTGGCTGGGATGATCTAGTTGGGGACAGTCCTGGTTCGAGCAGGGGTTGGACTAGAGGACTTCCCTGATGTCCCTTCCTACCCTAATTTTCTATGATTATTTCAGTTAGAGGTTTATTTTCTCATATATAGCTGCCTCTCTCTTGGAAATGAAATGTAAGACTCCAGTATCTGCTACTTTATTAATTCTTCTGTGTACTACTCTATTTAGTCTATTTACTGAACGACTTAAATGTTGTTTGAAAATGGTAATACAACAGAAAAGAAAAAGAGTACTGTACTGACAGTATCATATCAGCTCTGAACAGGAAACTGTGTGTTATTCTTTGCTTCCTTACAAGAAATGAAAATAAAGCTGTATCAGTACAGCATAATCATTTAAAAAACTATAACCAAATGATAAACTGATTAGATAAAAATCAAGGGCAAGCAACTTTCCAATACAGGTGGTAATGATTTTAACTATCAACATTTTACACTTAAAATTAGCCTAAAAGCAACAGTTTCTATTCTACTGCACAGCATCTCAAGAGAAACTTCACAATATCACATGGTTTGTTTACCTGGGAATTAAGAGCTGCTGAGTCCTCACTTTTTCCTTTAGCCAAAGCAAGTGGTACTTTATCTTGCTGATAAAGAGTCTGGACAGTGTCCTGGAAATCAGGATAACCATCCTGTTGAGCAAAAACAAAAAACCCCCAGGCCATTATTTTTCTTTAAAAAGAGAAAAAAGATGCGACAAAGTAAAATATTCTTTAATTCCTGTGAAAAATTGGGACATGGGTTGAAGACTCTGGAAAGAGAATTACATAAACTATGTTTTAGAAACAGTAAGAAACTACAGCATGGCTGGTACAATACATATCAACTTGTTTCATCCCATGCCTTACATTATTTGTGTGCAAGTCCACAGTAACACCTTCAAAGCCAATGGACTTAGTCTTGACTTAAATCAGTATAAGAGAGCAGAATTAGACCCTGTAGCATTTTTTTTTTTTAAGTTTGCATCTAAAACTTTTGTAGGTTTTTTTCTCTCTCTTCTTTATAGAAATCAACATTATTTATGCCAGTCATTAACAAAATCAAAAACATGAGTGACCATTTTCTATCTGTAACATCCCTGATGTTTGCTACATGTTCAGACTAAGGGCTTAAAATTGATCCTGGGTGAACACATACATTGAGATGTATTCTACAAAAACCCTCAACAAAGGCTGAATTTAATAGTCTTGAAAATTGGACAGAACATCACAAAAATTTAAACACACTGCACAGACACACGGTTATCTAAAACTGACAACATGGATCACTACTGAGCAAAATAGTTAAAACTTTATACATTATAGAGAATATAGCTGGCCTGCTGGAAGGCCCAAGAATTCTTCTGTCTCTAATTTTTATGACATGTAAATCCTGTCTTCAAAAGGAGGCTAGACAGCCACCTAGCTGGGGTCATTTGACCCCAGCATCCTTTCCTGCCCATGGCAGGTGGTTGGACTAGATGATCTGCTTAGGTCCCTTCCAACCCTACCAACTATGAAACTACATGCGTCCTGCGACTCTACTATGCTATTTGTTCAACATGAAACATTCCTGCTTCATAACAGTGTACAAACAATCCTCATGTAAAGCAGAAAAATGCCCTATTCCTTCAAACACAAAAACTGAACCTTTTAAACCACATATATCTGCTCTAAAAATAGCTTGTCTTAAAGTAAAAAAACAACAAGTAAATAAAATAGAAAAATTAAACAGGTGTCATAAAATAAGTATTCTACACTTGTTACAGTAAAACACCAACAAATGACATGACTGCCACAAAGCAGACAAAAGGAAGATGACTGCCTGATCTAAAATCATCCAAAACATAGTCAGCCATTTTAGAACAAGTGGGAGTCATGGATTATCATTAGCAATATACAATTTCTTTTAAACTAGAAGTTGCAGAAACAAGTGGAAACAGAGCAGGAAGAAGGAGGTATGGTGTTAATGAAGCTTGCATCAGGAAATTAGGGCTATTAAAATCAAAATTTTCTGAATGCAACCCCCACCCCCCAAGACATCAAATGTGGAAGATCCTTAGAAACTGAGATAAATATCAGTGACTTTAACTAAACTATGAAAAGCTGACCCTCCTGCTAGTCAAGGTGTGATTTATGCCAAAGCCTATGAGGTGGTGCATGCACTTGGCAATACCAAATACACAAGCAAGTTGGTACTTTGGTTTAGTGAGTTGGGTGGAGAGGTTTACGGAGTGGCAAGGCTTCTCCTGATGCAGCCCAACTTTTTACGTCAGCACTCTACTGTTGCACTCCATTCAAATAAACAGTAGCAGATTGGGCAGACAGCAAATGCTGACCAGATCCCTAATTTTTTTTTTTTTTTTTTTTAATGCCAGGAAATAAGAGAAAAGCAGATCTGAATGATCACAACAGGAAATGAGAAGCAGCAGATAACATAATACTCTGTGGAACAGCACATACACAGTTTTTAAGTGCAAAACCCTGCAGGGAACTGGGATGCTTATGACACAACAAATCCAGTTAAAAAACAAAAACACCACCACGGCATGACCCAAAGAAGACCTGGTTATTAGTCCAGATAGGATGATATCACAACTTCAGCCACTGGATGTCTGGGTGAACAAGCCATTTAAAGATCAATTTATTTATTTATTTTTTAAAAATCAATCACCAATGACTTGCAAATAGTACAAAACAGCTAAATGCTAACTGACCAAAGACTCTCTATATATTTCTCTCATGTGAACAGACTGTACAGGATTCTACAGACTGTAACACGCACCTTACAAAAAAAGAAAAAGAGCACTGCATTTCTAACTGTAGCCAGGCATACGCCTATGAAGCATGAGCTATGGGTGACAAATAGCACTATAATTTGAATCAAACATATGCTATCCAAAGCATAACCAAACTGCAGGGAAACTGTGGATATCAGCTTGGCCATTTTCAGGGAACCCAAGTCAAAACTACAGAGATATGACCAAACAGCAAGCCAACGGCCTGTATCCTAAATACTCTGTTACAATTGTATCCAAAAATATTAACTGAAAAATATAACAACTGAAGTGACCAAATGCATTAATAGTTACTTTCCTATAATAAACGTATTTTTACTAACATGTTCAAATGATTATAAACAGAAAGGCAGCCTTGAGGATGGAAAGAGCAAAGCAGCCCTTGTTAGGCCACAGTTGGTAAACAACTGACCAAGGACCAAAAGGCAAGCCATAAAGAAGGTAAGAAATCTGCTCTCTCAAAAATATAAATTTCAATTGATTAACAAGATCTTCATTAAAAATTATCAGATGATTAATAGACTGGGGTCAGAGACCTAAAAATAAACAGCCTTAGCTAAGTTGATCCCTTGACCCATTTTCAAGGGCTACTAAAACCCGATTCCATCCAGTTCCAAAAGTTCCAGTGAAACAAAGAAATTTAAATAAAACCAATCAAAGATCAATTATTAGCATGTCAAATCAGCCATCTATCAATACTGGGCCTGGGGCAAGCAACAAATTGGACCTTTCCCAAAGCTCAGAAGGAAAAAAACCAACTCAGCAAGAGTCCCCAGGAAAGCCATGACACCTGGCCAGCAGACCTGTTCTTCCTGAATCCAAGGCTGCGTAAGCACTGTCTTTATTAGTACCAATAAGCCTTTGCTATCATATATCCTAATAAAGCTTTTGAGTTGTGACTGGAATGGGCTTATTGACCAATTAATCTCACTCCTAACAAGTCCAATCAAAAGGTAACATAACCACCTTGACTGAACAGAAGATAACACTGTCTGAGAGATATTAAGTGATAAACAGGACTCTTCTCCCTCTTAGAGGATTACTAAGAGACTTTGTGCTGCTGTATATATAGAATTTCACTGCCAGGAAGTTAAGTATTATTGTGGTTATGTTTATAAATACAGTAGCTTGCCCATGCACATAAAAGTTTATATAACTGCATCTTTACTGAAAAGCATTTTTTCCTTAAACTGAGCATTAAAACATGAAAATGCATCTTAAATTTGAGGGTATTTGAAGGAATATGGTAGTATCATTATTGCCTAAGAACTGCAGTAGGAGGAGCATTAAAACACATAAGAGGAGACTGGAGAAGTAGCATCTAAAAAGCAAACAAACACAGCTCTCGTAAAATTCATCCTAAGTAACATGCACCCTGGTAAATTTAGGTAGGAGGATTAATTTAATCTTTTGCTGCTTTGCTGCTTCTATTCAGGCACATGCATGCTTGTGTGCCACAAGCATGCATGTATATGCATGCACAGATTGGCTGCGCAGATACCTTATAATCCAGCAAGGAGAAAAGGTAGCCTTCGCTGTTGATTACAGAACAACGTGCTGCTACTTAACAAAAAGGCCTGTGTACAATCTACATGGTGGCCTACACTACAGTTACATCTTATAGCACATCCATGCTGCATACTTGACCAAGCTTTAGATTAGTAAACTAGGGTACTGGTAGCAGTCTAGTCACAGCAGCATGGAGCTCAGCAAGGACCAGAAACCATTACACAAGAAGCAGGATAAATACCCAAATACTGTAGTAATCCAGGAGATCTGCTTCCCCTCTACACAAAGTAACTCCAAACAATTCAGTGAAGCCTCTCTTTCTCCTCTGAGAAAATCATGAGACCCTCAACTGTTTGGTAAAGCATTACTCCCCCAATATATTCTTAGCATTAAAACACAATCTGTACCACTTTGGAACAATGACAATTCCCCACAAACCCACACTCTTGGAAACAAAATTTGGAAATGCTCTACAAAAATTGGCCACTTTAAAGTGAGATCTGAATTGTGTCCACACATGTGCATGCACATATGTATTAAGATAAAAACTTTGAATGTACAATGTATCACTTGGACATGATTACACGAATCAGGTAACTGTGTCCTATGTAATAGCTCTCCAATTATATGTCAGTGTAAAAATGAAGGCCATTTTTCAAAAGCTGGTTCTTAACATATGCAAGTTTCTGTTGCTTCCCATTACCCTTGCATGTTTTTCTTCAACTGCAATTTAATTCTGGACCACCCTTCCTGTTGTGTGCTCAACTGCAGTATTTTTTCAGAGCCCTAGGATTAAAGAATGGGGTGGGACGAAAGAGGTAAGCTATTCACTGGGATGCTTGTCCAAGACCTACTCCTAGCTAATTTCACCTCTTCCAGTTTCTCTTCTTACCAGGGGTCTGAACTACTAATGTGCATGTTTCCCCACATTATTACTTGGCTGCTTTTAAAGGGGGTGTTCAAAAGTGGTTTTATTTATTTGATTTATGCTGTCCTTCCAAACAAGGGCTCAGGGTGGCTTACAATAAGAGAACAGATTAATTTATAAAACATGTTTTTGTAAGTTTTATTCAAAAAAATATAAAACAAGGTTTCTTATAACAGATGTTCTCAGTCCCACATGTGTATTTTCTTTCCCTCTAATGACACCTGTCCTACACAAGCAACAGATTATAACGGGTCTCTTCTTCTAAACTAGGAGAGAGAGAGAAACTGAAATCCCAATGCCATCGCACTGGCCCTGACTTTGCCAACCTGCCTGGCAATAATGGCAGTGGGCATCTGCTTCTCCTCTTCTCTCCCTCCCTCAGAGCTGCCATGAAGTACAGATGTTTTCTTTGAGTCTCCTCTGCAGTCTCCCATTCACCTCTAGGCCCCTGAGGGCACTCCTACTAAGCTTTTTAACTGCTTAACTTTTAACAGGCTCTCCCATTCCCCTTCTTCCCCCTGTTAACACCTCTATTCAGCTGACAATTCCTTTGTACTATCAGCCTAAAGCAGAGCAGGAACTTTTTAATTTCTCTTTTCTTTCCTCTCCCCTCTATCAATACTATATTTGGAATGGAAATCTCTTCAAGCACATATGACAGAGGCAATAATGATGAATAGCCACCCTGTACATGTCTCCGTCTATCTCTGTGCTTTTTATGTGATATACCTGTGACTGTAGCGGCGACTGACAAGGCAAAACAACAACTCACCACTTTGAATCACATTACTACTGACTCATCCGAGATGACAAAATAAGGGGCATCCCCACCCCACTACAACCTTCAAGGAATGAGGTGGCTGATGAGTAGGAGGGTTTGCTGCTTGCATCCTCGTTCTTCCCTCCTGCTCTTTGTCCAGAAGAAACATTTAAGAGTCACAGCACTTCACTTTCATTCATTCTGCATCCCATCCCAACCAATTCATTCTATTCCTTCTCCCACCTCCTCTGCTTCTTTAGCCTGTCATTTTCTTGATTTTTTTTTCTTTTCTTTGTACACTTTCTCCCACAGCCTGCCCACCTACTCTATCAATAAAAGGGGGAGACCACACGGGGGAAGAGAAAGGCTTTTACAGGTAATTTAATGTAATTCGTGGCATTTGGTTTCTTTGTAATGCTTGTGTGAATTCAGTGCTCAAGAAGAGGAAGGATTTAAAACAGTGGCTGGAGCTAAGCAATGTGCAAGTTTGCCCACACATCTTTGCTAGCACATCCCAGGCCTGACCTTCAAAATACCAAGTTCTCTCTCCCTGCTCCCCATAAAAAGTCATCTTGTAAAGCTGTCTTTCACACCACACCAATGCAAAATGGGTGCTAAACCTTTCAAAATCAGAAGAGTAGCATTTTACACCATACTTCTTTAAGGGGTACATGACCATCTAATAAGCAATGTAATAGTGGATCAGGTCACAGAATTCCAGCCCTGCCTAAGGGAACAAGTGATTTTACTTTTGAAAAAAATACAGACTTAGGCCTTACAGCTCCAGAAGTGAAAAGTCAGGTGCTTTCTGTTAACCCACTATACTATCTCATCTACTATATTCAGGGACAGGATATGCAGTAGCACAGCTTTCAAGAGCACTGATACAAAAATGGAGAGAGAATTCTGTAATTTCTCTTTATGCCTCCACCTTTCTATAGAAAAACACTATTAACAAGAAGTAAATCAACAGTAAAATGTAATAAACCTGCAGATAAAATAATCTAATAAACCTCCAAAGAAAACTTGTGCAACAGCTCAACTGCATATTTTAGGGGGAAAATGACAGAAATGTTAACAGTAAGAGCCACAGTCTATTATATAGTGAAATAACTGCCCTGCCTAAATGCTACTTACATGATAAGGCTCCTGAACATTCAGTAAAGAATTGTGGTAAAGCAGAAAGTGCCCTCCTTTTGTCAGCTCTAGCATATTAGTTGGCACTACAGTATCATTATTGAAAAAGTGTTTTGGGTACATTTATGCAGAGCAGCATTACGATTTAGACATGATTATTTTGTAGTTTAGGACATCATCTTCCATAGAAAGAAATTCACATGCATTTCAAACTACTAGTATTTTAAAATAAGTAGAATGAAAGTGAACATCTTTCTTCAGAAGTTTTAAGCTAAGAACACTGCAACAATTAAGAAAATGCCCTGCATTTCACCATTCTGTCTATGTCAGAATGCACCTGTGGGCATAAAAATCTTATCCCCCAAGAAGCAACCTGAAGTATTGGCTCTGGATTTCTATATTTGCCATGTTGCTTTTATGTGAATTGCTAATAGCAAATTATAAGAGAATATTTTTTATTTCAGATGCTTTATCACTGCCAGCTGCTACTGAACAAAGAAAATACTTTCTAATGGTTAAATCTACTCAATTGTGGATTATTCTCCCAATAGAAGCAGGAGGAACTCCACTTCTTATGTCATTCAATATCAGACTGGACAAAAAAATACCTAAAGAATAAGTTGTGGGGAATAACCCAACTGTACATACTAAACAAGAAAGGTGGATTAGGTGACTTAATATGGTTTTCTAAGGTCTCATTTCTCATTTTATAATGCCGAAAATTCAACACAGGTCAAAGGAAATCTCAATGCATAACAGAATGATATGGTAGATTTACAGGTCTTGTGTTGCAAGTAAACCTTTGGTATGCTTACATTCTTCAGATCTTACATTTACATGCAAGTGTTCAGACATCATCAAAACTTTGTACAACAAAACGAAGATGAAGATTACAAGTGCACATGTATTGGCAGAATTGTTAAGAAAACTTTTATTCATAGCTGGCTTTTCAGACTAACTACACTCTTTTAGTTTTGCCCACTCGGGAGCTGCCTTTGCATGGGTAACTAAAATGTGAAGCCTTATGCTACTACGCAACAGTAAACATCACTGAAGGAATTAAATATGAAAAATGTTCCCTTCCAAGACATTGCAAGGCTGTATTATAGTTATATGGTAAATACTATAACCCCCATTTCCTTATTACATGCTAGTTTAATACAGACTTAAAATACCTAGCATACTTTAAAATGCTGTACTATTTATTTCAGTGGCTGGTATCTACAGCAAATCATAGCAATAGCAGACAGACACCCAAATAGTAGCAAAGAGGACAATCAGTTAAAAATAAGTGAAAATAAGTGAAATGATGATCAAATCAACCACATTGGATACATGTGTATATATCAGTGTAATCAACTTTTTTTAAATGGCCTTAACCGCCTTTCCAACACCAGAAGCATAAGAAAAAGGCACTAACACACACACACACACACACACACACACACACACACACACACACACACACACACACACACACACACACACACACACACAGTGTGTCTGTTCATAATATTTCCACTTCTAAATAAGAACTTTGCAACACGACTTTTATTTAAGTCACATGTGCTGGTGTATGTTAGTTGTGTATATATGCATATAAACACTTTGTAGAAGGGATTATGAAAAGTACTATCAACATACACAACTATCAACAAACACTGAAAAGTACTATCAACATACATTGACACATTCAGATACATAACAGTTTTAGTGATTTACATAACAGGCCTACATGACCAATACCTTACCATCAATTCCTACACAGAACTATTCAATTAAATCAATGGGCAGTTATGTATTGTGTACTTGATCCAAATCTCACTGAAGTCCCACAGACTTCAATGCAACAGATTCTGAATCAGATGAGATAATAAATCAGTGAAAGGATATTCTCTGTGTCCTACAATGAGAAGCGTCTCCCCACCCTGCTCTGCTCCCCTCCAATAAAGGAAAGCATATACTAGGAGAGAATCTGCTAAGTTGATTCATAGATCAGAATTCTGACCCATGTTTTATAACCTATATAAAACTAGAGCCTAATGCACCTCATTTTATATATTATAATTTTTTTAACGGTGTAACCCCCCCATCTAAGTTCTGTCTGCCTATCCTACCTTAGTATATGCTTATCCTACATCATGTATTTGTATATTGTTTCCATTTGTGACAATCATACCTAATTTAAAAGATAAAGAATTACATCTAAGCCCTCATAGGTATTTCCCTGAGCCAGTGAGAGATAAGGGTGCAAATCAAAATGAAAGACCTCAGTGGAAGAAAGTCTCCATGAGGAACTCCTTGCATACATTCTGCTTCATTAGCCAGGTAGATTTCATCTCCCCATTTCTTGGCAAAGGATATAGGGACTACAAAAAAGAAATCCTATGGATATTTTGAGATCTGTTATCACAAGCAAAATACATATTTCTATAAAAAAAATACTGCAAGAAAGCAGGATATCTGTGTCTCACATTCTCTAAACCCTATCTGTAAAATATTGTTGAACTAAAAAGGCAAATCAATTTTTGCATGTAAGTTCACCATGCAGGGTCATAATGCCATACCTCTAGCTTAATTCTCTTTGGTGAAAGCTCATCTCTTTCTCCACATTTAGATCTAGAAGAAAAAAAAAAAGTCAAAAACCACAAGTCTACTTAGACAATCTTGTCATAAAATGAAAAGAAAGCGACTCAGTGTCATCCCTGCTACAACTCTCATGACTTCAGCAAAGCTACAGTAAGGATTAATTTTAGTAGACTAATGTAGGGCCAAACCCTACATCTCATTCATGCAATTAGTCCTACTGAATGTATTAGGAGTGCTCATCTAGCCACCTTTGAAGGACTGGATGCATTGAAGGGTAAGCAGATGGAATTCAACTATGGGCAAGGAAGTTTGGTCAGTTAAGATGCTGTATTAAAGTGCTAAGGTGTTCCATTTGGGCTGATCTGCTGTTGGGCAGAGAGGCCTTTAACTAGGGAGAAGGAGAGTAACAGGATGAGAGCAAATACAGACAAGATCATACAGCGAGACGAGAAACATACCAAAAGCACCTGACATATTAAACTAAATTAAGGTGCAATTAATCCCATGGGCAAAACTCAGATATGCTGTTCTTTTGAACAGAGATGAATTTCACTTCAAAACAAAGTTTGAGAAAGAACATAATGATATGCTGTTGGCTTCAGCTATGCAACATGAGGGAAAGCCTTAGCACATCTATGGTACGGGAGGAAAAAGCAACTGAAACGGGGGGAGGGAGGATACAAATTGTTGGGGGCAAAATTCTGAAAAATGACAATATATTTACAAAAATATGGAAAATGTTATATCAAGGAGATATATTCTAAATATTACTATACAAAGCTACCAGAAATGTCAATTATATTTATAATCCTATTTTAAGAAATCTCTTAATACTATAATATAGATAATCTGATATAAAAATCCATCATGCTTCCTTTACTGTAGTTTCTTTCCAAATCAAATAAAGACAAATCATCAATTTAGATCTGGTCCCACATTTTTATTTTTTAACCATGCCAGTAAAACCACCCATCACTGCTTCTGCCTTTTGTATACAGATTGGATTAACAGGATTCAAGCAACTGTGTTTAGGCCTCGGCCACTGTACTCATTATATCATATCTGAATTACAAGTTTCAACAAACATTCAAGAAGCTTTATTCTCAGAGATGGTATACTGAAAGGGGATATACCATTCCTGAATCTGGAAAAATAAAGGGCAAATGAAAAGGTTAGAAAGCCTACATAATACAATTGATAATAGCATTAGGAAAGTTCCATGATTCATATAGTGTTACTAAAAATATCTATTTTATGCATCTATCTGCTCCCTCCCCACCTTATGCAATTGTTCTTCTAGTCACAAAATAAGACTGAGATTTTTAATGCTTCCAAAGCAAAAAAACCAAAACAAACAAACAAACAAACAAACAACCCCCCCACTACTAAGCTGGTTCACTACACATGAAGCTTCCCCGAATTAATTAAAAGCTTACTTGGTCGTCCTGTAAGTATACTTGTATGTAACTTCTCGAGAGATCTGTCGAGCTAGCGCAAAGAGTTCATCTCTCCTGGTCAACAATGCATTATCTTTTACACACAGCTGAGCGGCTGCTTCATTAACTGTTAGCTGAAAGTAAAACACAAATAGGATTCATGATTTTTCAAACTGCCAACTGCTGACCCTTATAAAAGCATCCACTCTTCAGAAATGATAATGGATTTCAATGACAAGTCATTTACTTATAACTGTATGCTGAGCCTGTGCATGCTTGTCTTCCCAGATACTTGCCAGTTCGGAAAAGAGATACAAAAAGATGCAAGAACAGTATAACTTATACTTTAATTATAAGATGTCTTGATATAAGCTACTTGTACCAAATCCTAATATTAATTTGATACCAACACAAAAATGCTGCTCTTAATGTTTGAAGAATTTGGCTTTCAAACACGTTTGACAGAGGATACTATTTTTATAAATGCAAGTGTGTAAAAGTATACACAGGGCTTGAAAACCCACTGACAGTGGTAGGTAGAAAAGCTTTCCTGAGTGAGTAAAGGCTACATTTCCCACCTTTAGGGTTGTGAAGATATTCTTCAAATGTAACCAGGCCCAGCAACATCACACTAAGCCTGCTAGGACTGCAACTCAGTGCCTCTGTTGCTGCTAATATATCCTTACAACATGGAATTAATAAGGCTTGTCAGCTTTACAACTGGCAATTAAAACCCTACAGGAAACACTGCATTTATTCTAAATACCTGTTTCACGCTACGGCTGACTGAAAAGCCCATGATCAACATCAGAACAGACACTGAAGTTACACAGGGACAGAGAGAAATCAAAACTCAGCTGCTGGAGAAGCTGTAGATTCTCTTTCATCTCACAGCAGCCACGACAGGAGAAAGCATTTCGATCTATGTTTCAGAGAGCGAATCGCACCAATATCAGGCACTCCAGCAAAAGGAGTCCCAGAAGAGACCAGAACCAACACCTCTCAGGGATCTCAAAATGCTTCCCTTTTCAAGCAGCTCAGTTTTCAAGAGACTGAACTTCTCACCAAGGCACGAGCCCTACATTCACTGGTGGCATCCTCCATCTTGGCATTTTACATCTTCCTCAGGCTTGTTACCTATAAACAAGTATATTTCTTCAAAGCACAGTCAGCACATTTATTAGGGATCTAGTACTGCCATTTTTCATCTACATCTATTTGTATGGTCCAAGCTCTTAGGGAAGTGATGGTTCTCAACTATGGTGCCACAGCTAAGATCTTTTCAGGTGTGCTGTGGCATGCCATGCAATTTTAGCACTGTTAGGTGTGCAAACATGACTCACAAGATGAACCCAAAGGGCTCCTACAGACATGCAGCGAGGCAGCTCCAACATGCTGTAAATCCAGCGTGAAGCACACTTGATTAATCGAGTTGGCTAAAGCACAGAAGTTAATGCACTCCAGCAGCCTCCAGTGTCATGTGTATCAGCATCCCTGCACTGAAAAATGGCGGTGGGGCACTTTGAACTAAAGCTTGTTCGATGAGCTTTAGGTCAAAGTGCCCC